CTTCTGTGTAGCACTGTTCTTACTATGAATTGGGCAGTCATCGCCCATGTTGATTAGGGTAGTTCCATTGACTTGCATGGGCTCTGTCAGTTTAGATCACAAAAGGTTCTGACCTAGGATTTTTGAAGAGGAAGAGAAAAAAACAAGTCTTGGTGTCTCTTAAGTGGAAAAAAAAACAAATTATTGACAGATTTGGTTGTTTGTACTTAAAACACTTTTGTTCATAGCAGGACCAGAAGTATCCCCTTCAGAGAAGCAGTAGGTATCTGGCCCCATGAAAGGATGCTAAGAAGTAATGGGACAGGGGGACACTGTCCCAAGAGAATCAATAAGTATCTGTGCTGATTTTTATACAGAAATTGTTTGTGGAAGGTTATATTATCCATTGTTTGAAATTCCCTCATAGTTTGATTATATGGGTGATTGTCTAGCTCCTTTGTTTAAATATCATCCCATTTGAACTGTTTCACAGTGGTATCTTTATAATGAAAGTGAAAGTATAACCCTGAGATTTGTCCTTTTATAATTAGGCTGCCAGACAGATCACGTAAAACATGACTGTATACAGTATACCATCAATTCCCATTTGATGGTAAGATGCACAAAGTTCAAGTATGATAATTGGGAATTCAGAAGTACAGTAGTATCACAATGATCTAAACTACCTGGATGATATGATATATATGTGTGGATGAAAGAGAGTCTACACAACTGGAGCACAGTCCATTAATGTGCTTCAGAGAGGAAGCTTAGTTAGGGACAGAGGTTGGATAATTGGAGATCTAATCAATTTAGTTTTTAAAATATAGAAAAAGTATTTCACTTCACTGGAAGTTCAGCCATTTTCCTATAAAATGCTGCCATCATCTTTCCCATTCTGCCCAATTATCTTGTATTCTGTTATAACATCTCTGATTTTGAAATAGAAATATATTATGTTATAGCTATTGACACATATTCATGTATCTAGGAAGTTCCACATTGGCAGCAAGTTTCAGAAAACCCAGAAAGCAAAAGTCTCAGAGTCAATTGCCTTCCTACTCTCATCATCTTTTCCCTGTCTTTTGGGTTCACAGATTTATTTTCTGTTTAATCAATCTCATTTTGTTGATCTGATACGTTCATATAACTTATTAGCATGTAATCATCAGGGCTCAGTCCTGGGTGTTTTACTTTGCCCCCCTTTGCTCTCCCCCCATATGTTGACAAGGTCTTTCAGGTTTTGTTATCATTTGTGTTGACAGTGTTCAGCTTTTCATTTCCTATTTTACCTTTTAATATTCCTTCTGTTACTCAAAGCTGGTCAGATAGCGAATGTTGGATACACCAGCATTTCCCTGTGTTGCATGGAATGGATATAAACAAGGACTGAGAATTTCAAATCAGTCTAGTAAATTTAGACACATCTTCCAACCTACGTATCTAAACTCCTAAGATTAATCTGAACATCTCAGAAATGTGACTTTTATTGATTTTTTTTAGTGTCATCCTCTCCCCTGTCTTGAGATCCAGTTTATTTCTTACATTTGTATTACAAATAAGGAGTTCTTTTTGATTGTGACATGTCTTTAACTGTCCATAGGAATAGGGTGACCATATCCACAAAGGAAAAATTAGCCCCCTCCCAGTGCAACTGGTTAAATCAGTCAGCTCTAGAGCCCTACTCCCTGGCCTGAGCCATTCATTCAAGCCCCCTCTTTTTGTGGGGCTGGGGTCACTGCTCACCTGAATCTTGCCTGCCCCTTGTGTGAGGCTGGAGCTGGCATTGCTGCTCATGCAAGCTCTGTCTGCCCTCTACTCCAGACCTGTCTCCCCCCTCCTTCCGCCTACACAGGGCTGCCACCTGCTCTTTCCTTCACACCTCACTCTTTTTAAAAAGGTGGGCATTTATCCTGTTTGCTCTCCCTAACCGATCAAATGGGCAAAAGCAAATGGGACAAAAAACTACTTTTGCAAAAAAAAAAAAAGTAGGAATGGCCACAACGGGGTTTAAAAAGGGAGTGTCTTGGCCAAAATGGGATGTAAAGTCAGCCTACATATTAATCTGATCTTGCAGAGTCCATCTTTTTAAGCACAGGAAGTAGCTGGCATCCACTGACCATTTCTATTTGTATAACACAAATATAATATCAAGAAAGATTATAAAGATGCAACAATAGAAGGCTCTTGCATCAAAATCTTCAGATGGTTCTAGCTATATCTCTGGATCTATACAATGAAAGATCAGATCCTTTCCGGGGCAACTTTCTTTATATTGACCATGCACTACTGAAATGCTGCCGTGTAAGGGTTTCCCCTCGGATAGCCATAGTCAGCAATAGCCTTTTCTATTGGCCCTTTACATTTGGAAAAGAGGTGCATTGCTAAAATATTTGGCTGTTGTTTACTACTCTCATTTCCTTTCTGACTGCCAAATATTATTAGCTCTTTCTATCTTTCTCCCCTTTTTCTTCTCCCTAAGGAAGTGGCATATTCATACAATAAACCCTTACAAAGATCCGCACCTCCTTAAGCATTGGGCCATAAAATCAGTAGAGACTTGCATATCCGCAGATAATGGAGCAATTACCCATGCAGGGCTCTCCCCGCTGCAGGCAAAGGGGAGGAGGGAAGCCAGGGCAGGCCCCCTGTGCTGCTATCAGGGAAAAGGTGCAACCAAATCTGTCCTAAATCTCTCTGCAGGAGGGGCTGAGTGTTGGCCCTGGCCCAGATCCCTGCTGCCTCCTACCCCCAGTCCCTGCTTTCGTGCTGCCGGCCTCTTCCTTGTACAACTCTGCCCCCTCCTCACTCATCTGTGCTCCTTCTCCCATCCCCTGCAGATGGCTTGCTGTGCGAATGCAGATGGAAGTGAAATCCAGATCACGAGTTGCAGACTGGATGAGGAGTTGAGTCTGGCGGATATGGATCACATGCAGATCCACATTTTTGTATCCACGCAGGGCTTTAAAAATCAGGGCTTATGCTTCATCCCACGTTGGGCAAAAGAATTACTTTGCTGATGGCAAATATTCCCCAGGGCAGGTTGCACCGGGGAACATTCTTGTCTTTTGTGTCATCCCAGACTTGTCTATGCTCAGAGGGAAGGTGGATCCCCGATGCTATTAAGCATGCAGAGAATCCACCCTGCACGGCCCTACCCTAATTAGGGTGGTAGAGACATCTTCTGTGTGACTGCCCAGTGAAGCAGTGGGAAGCAGCCAGGATCACCTTCCCCACTGCTTCACCTGACTAGATCCTGTTATCACCCCTACTCCACCCACAAGAAGTCAACTGACTAGGGTCATTCAGCAAAAGCATAGGTCTCTCGTCCGTGCCCTCGGAGCAAAGAGGTACCCTGATTGCTTTCCCTCCCCCCCCCCCACATGGCATCAAAGGCATATGCACTGGGGGTGGGACTAGGTGATCCTCCCTCCTCCTCTGCCACATTCTACAAGCCGAGTGGCTGTTCTAGCTGTCTCTTCCGTGGCTATATGGGCAGAAGCAGTAGGCAAGTAGCTTCTCTCCGAGAGAAGTAGCACACTCTCAACCTCAGTGTGCTGGGCTTGCCATGCACAAAGCTGGGCACTGCCTTTTCTGTGTACCTCTAATGAGGAATGGCATGGACTTCAGCTGCCCTTTGGTCTGCATGGGGAAGCATAGAGACAGCACTACAATCACATGGTGTGTTTGCTGCCCCTATGGATCTGTGAAGCATACAGATCATGTGGTTCCCATAGTTAGCCTTGCAGCAGGGTCCTATGTTATTGCACAGAAAAGTGGTGATGGCAGCGCCTTCTATTCAGGAAATGGCTGTGACAGGTGTTGGGGCCAATCTACTTCAGAGATGTTGTGGTCTGACTTGAATGGCTGACCAGGCTGCAATATGAAGTGTACCTTTCACTGACTCTCTGATCCCTACAAAAAGGATTGTTCCTCAATTGCTGAAACCTGCTAGGTTGAAATGGTCAGCTCTTATTTGTGAAGCCTTTAGCACATCTGTGGAGTAGGAGAGAGCAAGGGAAATGGGCTTTGATGTCTTTGGAACACTGTTGTTCAGTTTCCATGGGACAAACCCCCCAGGATGCTGGATGGGGAGGGGGGTGGAGAGGTGAGGCACTGAGGGAATCTTTCCTTTGGTGGACAAAATGAACATAAGTGGTTGGTTTCTTCAGGGATTTCACATTCTGGAGTTCCTCTCCATGATTGGTTAGAAAGAGATGTGAATAGGAAGTTAATACTATGTCCTGTTGTAATTGTCAGTAATATTCTGTGGGTGCTGGGAACCATGTGGATTTGTATTCTGAATCGTGTTCAGTAAAATATGTTTTTTCAAACACAAACACCATTGCAGAGTCTGTGTCTTGCTTTCCGGCACATTTCAGCAGCTAGCTGCAATGGGAGAAGATGGAATATCACCTTTGGTTGCTAGGTGCCTGAAAGGGTGGATCATATATTCTCTTACTTATCGCTTGTTCTATGGTCAGCCTATGGTTGAGAGATCAACTGTGATGACCTCTTGTTTCAAGAGCTATTCTTTGTTCATTAGATTGATGTTTGTAATTATATTTGATAAACTTGTCCCCTATCCTGACTCTACTTTCCCTTTTCTCAGACCCAGACCGTTCACCTTGTTTCAAATATCCCCCACTCAAGTCTTCTCTTAAAGAAGACTGGGAGGGAAGGGCAGTGCTGCTTCCCTCTCCCTATCTCCAATTTGATACATAGCAAAGAGAGCTGGTTGGGAAGTTTTCATTTACACCCCCTCATTTTCTACAAAAAACCCAGAAACACTTTTCTGACACAAATTTTAAATACAGTTTTGGAAGTCCTAATGCAAAGATACAAATTCTAGATCTTGATTTACCCTAATCTTGCATTATTAATACATTTAATGGATGTTCTATGGTGAATTCTTGGATGGGAGGGGATCTGGTATCCTTGTGATACTATTGTGGTGAAACTAAAAGTGAGCTACTGAAATCATGTATCAAATACCAGTACACACAGATAACATTCTCAAATTATTTATTTTAACAATTTCATTTTAAACATGTATTTTTGTAGAAAAATAAACATGAAAAACCCATTCATATTATAAAACATTACAAATAAATAATCTAAGGTTGTCAATTCCATGATAATCATATCAATTCTCCCAGATATTAATTAATAATATTTAACCCTAACTTATTTGAATGCTGATGACATTGAGTTTGCATTGCACAAAATAGAGGAAGACCTATATTTCCCATGCAGCTTATGGTCTACATTTAAATTGCATTAAATTCACAATGTTAGAGTTTCCAGATACAAAGAGCTACAAGAATTAGGCTCTACTTCTGAAAACTAACTTAGTTCGGGATTATGATAGAGAGGACAACAAGATGGTGCAGATTTTAAAATAAATAATTGTTTTTCTAGAATAAATTAATGTTGGGAAGTTTTGGGTATGTTCTCAATTAAGAGGTAAATGAACCTGAATTACATGTTCTGATCTATTTAACATCTCAGACGACCTCCTGAATAGTCTTCCATTCATGAACATTAGAATTCTGAGTATAAGAAACCTCAACATCTGTTCGCATACAGTGTGCTTTCTCCATTTTGTGCACTGCATAGTAAAAAATAAATACATAAAAATATCCCCAAACATATCAGTACAAAACCTTCCATCATCATACACGTTCCTCTTTCAGTTTTCAGCATTTAAAATAATTTATCATCTCATTAAATAAGCAGCCTAATTAAAATAATCAAAGTGTAAAAACAAGTAACTAGAAATTTAGGGAAAGTCACAGTGAAATTCTAACAGGACCATATTGATGCTAACACATTCCTATCCTATATTATAAATGCAGTAGACACAGCACTGGGGAGTCTATATTTTTCAGAAGTGATTTGAAACTGAAGGCTTGTCCAAAAGGCTCCCTGGCCATTAATTCATCCCACTCCAAAAAAAGTGCTTTCAGACCAATTCCAGCCTGAATAATTGTATTTTTTCTACCTAAATCTCCCCGGTAGTTAGAAAATGCCATTTTATACACACTTATAAATAATGAAATGATGGTTTCATGTAAAAATTTAAAGTGCTAGTCTAAAAATATTTGCATATTTTCTTGTTTTGATTTCTTGCAATATAAAACACAGCTATCAAAATATAAATGCCCTGTTATCCCAGCCTGACAAATAACTACTTTTAGCTAAACAGCAGCAAATGTTTCCCTCCAACTTATTCACTTGTGCAAATGCCAAAATCGGATTTAAATGCCAATTATATATTTGTATAATATAAATTTTAATTTTAAAAAGAATATTAGTGGAAGGATTATGCATTGGTTTCAACATTCAAAGTCAGAAAATAAAAGTTAGGCTCTTCATTAAATGTTGATATAAAGCATGTGCAAAGATAGTGAGGTAGTATATGTGAGAAACTTAAACTTTTTCTTTTGCTGACTTTATGCAAACCTTTAAAGTTGCATAATTTTTGTTTTACATTAATTTACTATTTATGGTCCTGTAATTCAGTAATTTCTGCAGTTTACATTAATAACATTTTCTTGTTTTCTGATGATACATTTTCAAATTAAAATATCCGTTGGCAAAATAACTTGTAGCGTTATGTTGCCAAGTGACAAAAAAAAAAAAAAGGAAGTACTGTCAAGTTTAATAAGAAAACACCATATAAAAAACATTGGACTATTTCCCATCCACTATGGAATACTACTTTCTGTTACAGAAGATGTTTAACAACAGATCCAGTGTTGCAAACCTTTAAAAACAGTAGTCTGCCTTGAAATGGGGAACCATCGTCTTTGTAAGACGTAGCAGAAACTGCCTGGATTTCATTTTTAAAAACAATTTTAAATATAATAATTTATATAATTACATAAATAAATAAATAGAGATGTACTACAGTTCAGCGGATCTCTCTTTCATTAATAACGTGGGGTTGATATCCTCTATTGTGGAGCTTGAGGAACTGATATTAATGGTGGCCTTTTCTGTGGCCTCAGAGTTTAGGACATGGAAGGCAGTGATGGGACAACCCTTCACATTATTGCAGATGAGCTTTTGTAGCGAGGCAGTATTGATTATTTCAAAGCCCACTTTTCCACCAAAGGTGCTAGGCTTCCAGTACTGAGGAGAACAAATAGCATTTCCCATAAGGCCTTTCAAAGAGAATGGTGCGCCAAGTTCCACCATGGTCTCACCAAAAATGGCACCAGGACGAGGCCTCTCTACTAGAAGGCCAGGGTACAGCTCCATAGCATCAATGTCTCCATAAAGCTCTTCTAATTCAGCTGCCATTTCTTTTTCTCCTGTAATAAATTAATAAATTAGTGTACCTTTTAGCATTCTTCTTTTGGTTGTTAATCCTGCTTCCCACTCCCACTACTTTATATAAGCCTGGAAACAAACAAACAATGACCCTTCTACCATATTAATCATTTGTAAGAAAAGGCCCCGTCTTTTATAAGAAAGAATAGCGCTTACCTGTAAGTTCCTCAAATGACTTGAAAGGTTTCAGTAGGAAGCGTTTTCGGTACTCATTCAAGGATTGGTATCTCATCTGCCTGCTTTGGTCAATTGAAGCCTTGGCTACTTTCTTTACTGCAAAAGGAACGTTCTTACCCCCAGCAACCTATGGCAAAAAAGGATACAAAGAATAATAAGAACTCTGGGCAAACTCTTAAAAATTGTATAGTGTGTATAAATTTTGGGTGGAATGCTGCTTTCCTTCCTCAGGAACCATTTCCATTGGCATGAATGGAGGTTCTTCTGAGTAAGGAAAATGATCCCCCTTTTGGTTTTTAGTCCTACATTTCCCATTAACATCAGGGGAATTCAACAACTATGGAACAGCTCAATTGAGACTCTAGAGCTATTGCATTACATTTCTGAGAGATGCATTTGTTGAGGCCCAGGATTGGTAGGATTTTAACTTTACAACTGGAATTCACTACTAAATGATTTTTTTGCAAAATTATATCAAGCTTTGGAAGAGGATATTTGAAATATTAAAAGACCATTTTTTAACTTGACCCTGAAGCCTTCTTACAATTTAGGTCCCACTGAAATTAGTGGGAGCTCTGTCAGTACTAGCATCTGGACTCCTGCACAATAACATTTTAAATTGGTTTGTCTTTTGTAACTCCAATACTGATAAGAATTATATTTGACTATTTGAATTATCAGGTATATTTCTTTTTCACAGAGTAAGCTCTCTGTAAACTTTTGGCCTAGTCACTGGTTTATGCTAATTGGATAAAAAAAAAAAAAAACTAGACCATGTCAATGAGCTAAAAATCTTAAGAGTAGGACTACTTACCCTGCCAGCAATTTGCTTGGAGAAGGATTTCACCATGTGAGAAAGGCCATGTTCCACCATGATGGAGTTGTTGTAGAGAAACTGCTCGAAAGTGTACTCCTGGTCATGGACGTGAAAGCTGTCAGGGAGGAGTGGGTGCCAGTGGTACAGTGTGTTGAATTCAGCTGCAATTCGATTCTGATATTGAAATTGTTGGTTAAACAGAAGTTCAGGATCAAACTTCAGCTTGAAGTGGTAGCCACTCAAGTGCTGCACATAGTCTTCAATGACAATCTTGATGGTCTCTCCTGTTAGTTCAGTGAAACAGGGAAAAGATAATTTTATTTGCTTGAACAATTCTGAATGTTCGGCCAGCTGTTCACACTTGCGCTTATGCCTGCCAAACTTATGTTGCTCAGGGAGGTGGTCTTTTCCATCTCCCTGAATGACAAAAGTTTTGCTGACGTAAGTGCTAGTGTAGATATAGCCTTAAACCCACGTTCCTGCTTTTCCACAATGTACCTCATAGTTCTATTTTCCTTCATTAAAAAACCAGAAGGCCACTTGATTTAGGAATTTCCTCCATAGCTTAGCATTTAAGATATTGATTACAGTGGACTATTTTTTCCATGAACTCTCAAATGGTCATAAAACTTTTAAAAAATGTCCTTGTGATTTAACAAGCCAAAAAAATTTATTCTATTATTAAACCTGGTGAAGTTGTTTGGGAGGAAAAAAAATCTCCCAGGTCATTGTAACATATTGAGAACATTTTTATGTTCTACATACTTAATAGCTATTTTTTTAAAGAAAAAAAAGCAACTGGCCCTCTATTTTCAAGAGTGGCTAGTAATTTTGTGTGTCTCTGTTTTTGGGTGCCTAGCTTAAGACATCTTAAAGAGATTTGTTTTCAGAAAGCTTTGATCTCCTTATCCTCGGAAAATGCTTTTAAGAGATTTTAAGTTGGCTTCTCATAATAGAGGCACCCAAAATCATTCTTGAGAATGCAGTCCCTTGACACTGTGTTCTGTATCTGCATAAAATAGTTGAATAAGGAAAGTCTGATTTTCTTACCTATCAATATGAGTCTGGTAGTTTGGAACAGCTGCTCATCATCCCACTCTGGATGCACCTGCTTAAGGATGTCACAGACTCGGTTATGCTCTCTGAGCCATATTGTGGCATACATCATTAAACCTGGGACCAAACCAAACACCTCCTGGCCTACAGAAAATCGCAGGTGCTCAGGAATATGAGGAGGGTAGATCATTTCTGCTTGTGTGTCCTTCACAGTGGGAGGGTACATTTCTCCATTAATCATCTGCAGTTTAAAAAAACCCATAAGAGAGAAACACTAAGAGTCATTGATAATATATAGAAATTCTTCAGTATTTTATTTTTCACATTCTAAAAATACAGACTGTGGATCAAATCTGCCTTTGCATTTAGGGGTATAGCACCCATTGACGTATATAGGACCTATTAACACCATGGTGGAATTTGGTCCTCTGTGTTTTAACAAGGCTTCATATTATTAACAATGTGAATTATAAAATTCCATTGTTCTCCAGTAGGAATTTTAAAGAAAAACACACCTGAAACTTTAGCTTTCCATCCTTAAGTAGCCGCAACTTAAGCTGTCTCTCCAAAGTCTCTCCGTAGATGTGGCTCAAGTCAACCTATAAAATACAAAATTTGAAATATGAAGTCAAGCTACATTTCTGGCTATTTTAGGATGGATCCTATTCTTATTTAAGTCACTGGGAGTTGGATTAGGACTTAAATGTTTGCATATTAAGGATACTATGATTGGCACCCTATAAATACCTTACAAAAATATGTAAAAATAAAGTACGCTTCTTTGTTAAAACTGGATCAAACTATGCATAACAATGAATTTTTAAATTCTCAATCAATTCAAAAGGACTTTGCTTCAAACACGTAAGTAGTGGATTTTGTGTCTAAAAAGAATGGACAGCCTGAAAACTATATAATATAATACTGTAACTGATTTCAGATAAATAATTGATGATATGCGAAATAGCTGCTTTTCAACAGCAAAGTCTCTTTTATAAAAGGGTAGCATATGACAACTATTTTACAGCACTGTACATGCCTCCTGGGCTGTGTCTAGACTGGCCACTTTTTCTGGGAAAGCAGGAGCTTTTCCGGAAAAACTTGCCAGCTGTCTACACTGGCCGTTTGAATTTCCACAAAAGCACTGATGATCTCATGTAAGATTGTCAGTGCTTCTGCGGAAATACTATGCTGCTCCCGTTCGGGCAAAAGTCTTTTTCCAAAAAACGTTTGCGCAAAAGGGCCAGTGTAGACAGCAGAGATTTGTTTTCCGCAAAAAAGCCCTGATCACGAAAATGGCGATCGGGGCTTTTTTGCAGAATAGCGCGTCTAGATTGGCCACGGACGCTTTTCCGCAAAAAGTGCTTTTGCGGAAAAGCATCCTGCCAATCTAGACGATCTTTTCCGAAAATGCTTTTAACGGAAAACTTTTCCATTAAAAGCATTTCCGGAAAATCATGCCAGTCTAGACGTAGTCCTTATGTCTGATAGAAAGAGTCCAATAGAAAAAACTTTTCGTGTCTCAGTAAATTTGGCTGGCATTCTGAGACTACAATAACACTGCATTTGGAAAACTCAGTCTATGCAGATAAAGGAATTAAATCACTCAATATTTGTAATGGAATTATTTAGGCTCCTCTAGTCTAGTGGATTTTGCCCATGAAAGTTCATGGTACTATATATTTTTGTTAGTCTCTAAAGTGCCACAGGATTGCTTATAGTTTTTAATATTACGGACTAACATGGCTACCCCTCTGAGATTCTGAAGAATGTCATTCTTGACACAAAGATTGATAAACTTTGCTGAACTTTTCAGTGAGTCACAACTTTGACACAACTTACCCCATGGCCAAGAGCTTTGGTGAAGGCTGGCCCTCTGCGGTGATCTGTCTTAAAGTACTGGTGGGTGAAATGTTGAGCAAAAAACGTGAACATAACATTTGAGCCTTGTGGGTCGGGAATAAATTTTTGTCTCAGCAGAAATTTCTCCACAACCATTGTGGAATCTGGGAGCTCCTTCTTACCTGAAATTTAAAATCATATCAGTTTATTTTCCTTTACATTTTGAGAAAATGATTCATTCAATCCAGCTATGTCATTTTCTTCTTAGAACAATTATCAATCTTATGAGCTAGACCCTCAGCTGGTATAAACTAGCAAAGCTCCACAAACTCAGTCGAGCTCATCGATTTATTCCTGACAACTTAGCTATAACTTTTACAAATCTTACTCACTTGATTTTAGTATATATATCTTCATTTCTGCTATGCTAAATCTGCAACTCAGTCTTTTCAATTTCTTTCTTTTATTTCTAGCATTTTTGTTCAAAAATGAAAATCGGAGTCTGTAAATCATTACTGAGAGTTTAGCTTTTTGTGCAGTATATCCAAACCAATACAACATATACAATACACAACTATTTTATAATATGCTGTTACAGATTTCAAAGTATAGCTCTCTAAAAAAGGTCTGTTAAATGTTTTCCAAGAGGGCAAAATAAATTGACTCTCCCACACTTCTTAAACACTGTAAATCTCTTTAATTCCTTACCTTTAACACCCATGGGTGTTGGGCAATCTGGTGACACTGGTGGAAGGGCTCTAGTGTAGAAGGAAAGGTTGGAATAGGCTTCCCAGTTTTTGTAATGATACTGGCTGTTGTATGTTGGTGGACTGTCAATCAAATGTGACCTTGCTAAAATAATAAAAAAAAAATAAGGTTGATCTTAAAACCGTAAATTTAATTCTAAGAAATAAGCTACAAAGCCAAATCCTTTCTACCTTTTTTGTGAATAGTCCCATTGATTTCTATAGCATCACATAAGTTAGTAAGGTGAAAATATTTTGATTATTTTATAGCAGAAATGGGGTGAGGCTCCAAGTTTGGATTCAGATAAATGTTACCAAAATTTGCTGATATGGGAGTATAGTGTTTTATTTCACTCTATACAGTGATAAAAGGCAAGCTATGAAGTTTCAGTTTGAGTCTGAACCACTTCCCATTTTGAAGTACATTGAGATCCAGACTTTTTGTTTGGAGCTGTCCTTATTTAAGAGCAAATTTACAGTGTGGTACTTCCTAGTACTAAAACCTCATTTAGAGGGAAAATGGTGTGTATATATGTTTGAATTACTGAATTCAATTACAGAGTTCAACCAATTACATGCTTTATAAATGTGTCAATTTTGATCAGTGTTGGACCTCCGCATAAAAGAAAATCTCTCCTATCTGTTCTCCCACTCCTAGTGGTTGCCTCCTTATTATGGAGTGAAACATATGCCTTGCTTCTGCTTTCTACATTTCCTGTCCCAAGATACACACACACACACATACTTGAGATAGGTATGAGGTAGAAAATGTATGTCTGCATATAAAATAACTAAGAAACAGAATATTCTCTTAAAGTCTTGTGCCCAACATCTGCAACTGAAGGGTAATAGTGAAAGGAGAGGATACTTACATGTCAATACATATTTCATGATGGAATCACGGAAGAAGGGAATGCTATTTATTATATTCCAGACGCCTTTGAAATGAGTGAGGATGTAGTGGACAGTGTTTGGAGTAGGTTTCAATGTCAGTTTCAACCAGGTCAAGAATTCCGCTGTGAGCATTAAGGGGAAAGATTAAGAATATATGATTTAGCTATGAGGATTAAATACCATAGAAGTAAAATACTTGACCAATGGTTTGCAGCTTTCAAGTGTCATTATTAAAGCAAAACTTTCAGATACTTACGTGTAGTACAATTTTCCCCATAAAATCCTGTCCTTGTACAGTCACATTCATATCGGTCAAAACCTATCGTCATACACTCTCCTCTGTTCTGACATGGGTTTGAACAGCAAGGATTAGCTGTAATGAAAATGAGAGTAATGTTAATAAAATAGTATTTGGATGTTTTCTTCTCCACAAGCCATTTTCTGAGAATTAAGGCAGAAAATAGTCAAACTGTAGGTAGGTCCAGTTAAGACTAAGCCCTATACTGATCTTGTTAAAAGCTACTGAACAATATTTTTTTATTTTTACATGATGAGTGATTCATTTGCAGTCGATATTGTATAGGGGAGGCGTTATTAGAAAACTGATGACCCCTCTCAGAATGTTCATGTAACTCTCAATATCCCATATATGAGATAATTACTTTCAACTACATACAATGACCACAAGCTGTAACAATGAAGAGACCTGTGTCCTCCTTGGTTTTTTTTTTTTTTGCAGATACAGACTAACACAGCTACCCGAAGTAAATGGAGGGAAAATGAAAAATCGTAAGTTCTCTAGACCTAATTCTCGTCTCAGAATTCAATGAAAATTGGGTTAACTAATAAGTGAGCATAATGAGCTACCATGTCTTCATTAACTCCTTTAACTGGATTTTCCAGTTTCCTAGCTCAGCTTGCATTTTGTGTGCACTTGCCTCATGCTCAACTTCCCAGTACATTGGGAAACCTGAATGTTGGCTGAACATTAGCATTTGGCGCCTATCTTTACTAATAATATCAGAAGCAACTTTTAACCAAAGCATCTGGGAACATTAGAAACCAGCATTTTGTGCTTTTTCTTTGGCTGGTAAATAGGAAAGATTAGGTTAAGACAACGTGGTAGTTTTAGTAATAATAATAATTAATAGCAAACTAGATCCCAGCAATGGTCCTTCAAGTCCAGTACCCAGTCTTCTGTGCATTGAGCGATCCATCCCATCAGCGGCTCTGGAGCCAGAGGCTAGGGATGCCCCCAGCACAGGGGTGCATCTGGCTCCTGGGCAGCCCCGGGGCTGTCGTGCTGTGCACAACGCCAGGAAGATGTCAGCAAGCTGCTGCTTCGAGCCGTGCAAGGAGAGGTCGGGCACTAACCTGCTTGGCCGACGCGCAGGAGCGCCAGGACTAGCGCGCAGGACACAATCATAGCCCGCGGTTCTTCGCAGGCGGGAGTCGCACGCCGAGAGCTGGTCAGGTGCTGGCGCTGGCGGGGCCGGTCACTTCCCGGGGAGGAGAAGGAGCCGGAGTTGCTGCTGCTGCTGCCCGTGCTCAAGGATCTGTTCTGCGGCCAGCGCTCGCTGCTCTGCATTTATGGCTACGCTACTGAGTCATTTGCGGGAATTAGCTTCTCTCCGCCCCGAGCCCCCCCTCCCCCCCCCAGCTGCA